ATTCAGCAAAACCTTGTAAAGAAATGAAATCAAAACGAAAAATGTATTGCCTAAACAGTAAACTGGGCATCATTGTCCAGCCCACAAGAAAGATCCAATACAATATAGGACTGGCTAGGACCATGGCTAACTACCATACCAGTAACCCTCTCTCAAGTTATATCTTTAAACGATCAACCAAAAATCCGATGCTACAAAAAGGGGAAGAGAGATCTTTACAGACAGTGTGTATATGTAGGATCAGAGAAGATCGAAAGGAAGTGCTTCAATTGACTCTGCATATTAGCAGGCACATCCTCCTGACTGTTGCTGTGACTGAGTTGTGTTCGTGTTGGAAGACCTGAGGTTGACATCAACCATGTCTTCTTGCTTTGTTGAGGAGAGTGTCTCCATCCCAGGTAAAGCAGCTGCAATCTTCCGAAAGAGTGGCTGAAAAGAGATCAATCAAATAATTTAGTATGCTGTACAAAAATAAATCAATAGAATGCAGAACATAACTTGAATCACATGGTGAACTTCCTGGTGGGTTACCTTTATATTGAAGCCAGCCTTGGCACTAGTCTCAATAAACATAACATTGAGTTCACGGGCCTTCGCTTCTCCTTCCTCTATTGATACTTGCCTGTAGCAGTCAAATGGATGAATATAGTTGACTCCCAAGGAACTTTATGGCAGCCAAAAACTTCAGAAGTAAATGAAAGAAACTCCAAGGAAGCAGAAAGCAACCCATGGTCCCCACTGAATTCATAACAAACTCCTACTATGACAATAGAAGTTTACCTTTTGTCCACAAGATCTGTTTTGTTTCCAACAAGCACAATGATCACATCGCTACCCCTCTCAGTCCGCACCTCCTCTATCCACTTGGCAGTATTCAGGAACGACTGCCTACCTAAAACACCAAAGAATAAGGAGCAGGCAGCATATTTATAATTAATCATTAGAAAAATGTTTCAACCACATTTACAGAAAATGTGAACAAGCAACAGGCTTACAAAAGGAATTTTGTGCTGACATATTAGACAAAAAGCACATGCATTTTGCTAAGATAAAGTTCATTATCCAAAAACAAAAAATGTAACATGTTGAACAAATGGATATATGAGTCAAAGTTTCTCAAAGCAGAGAAAAGAGTGAAAATGAATACATACTTGCTACATCATAAACAATGACTGCAACAGATGAATCCCTAATATAGCTTGGAATTAGACTTCTAAACCTTTCCTGTCCTGCTGTATCCCTGTAATAAAGATTAGCCATATAAAATTTCAAGATGCCAATCTTGAGAACTGCTTTTAAGTCACTAAACAATGCCAATTCAAAGGCTAAAACATCAATGCATAGCTAGTTAATCATCATGATGAAAGATACAAGCAGGAACTTGTACCAAATGCAGCAGTCTGGATTCTTAGCAGTATTTTAGAAAGTAAATAAACCCATGATACCAAATATTGCATCCATGCAAAATCCTTGCAGAGACATACAACAAGGTTCCATAACATGTTGACTAGGAATAATTATTAGTAGGTCTAAGGCATCAATAACTAAAATCTTACGGCTATTCTCAAACAAAAAAGAAAAAATCCTTACCAGAGCTGCAAACGAACTGTTCGATCTTCAAGATACATTGTTTTTGATAGAAAGTCAATACCAATAGTGGCCTGGTTACCAAGTTAATCAGACATATTAGCTTAAAAAGATCAAAGGCATTGAACAGACAAAAGAACCAGAGGCAAAATGAGGAAGATCCACACTCCACATATTGCAATCAATATTACATAAATTATGTGGACAACATAAAAGCCATTAGCCATAGCAGATGGTTCAGGTGGCTTATTTTTCAAGTGGGTTGGTGTTGAGGGGTTCTCCCAAGTAACAAGCAATAGTAGTTATACTTTTGATTCCAGGTCAACCAGCACAAATAACTCCCAGGCTCAATTCGTTAATTGGGTGCATTCCTCTTTTCTTTACCCTAAGGTCCATAACCAATGTTATGGAATTAAGCTCAAAAAGCAGGATAGCAACTTACTGCAACATCACTTGAGTTTGAGCTACATTAGAGATTAAAGATATACCTAAACGTCATTAAAAGCATCAACCTCTCATGGACCAAAACCTCCAGCAGCTAATTTGTGTGCGTCCCATCCCTCAATTGTTGTCTAAACTAAACAATATTTGTAAATGTAAAACTACAGACCAAAATACACGGTATCATCTTAGATTTCCCTAGCCAAGATACAGATCAACTAAAAATAAGCAAAAGAAATATCAATATCACATCGCAGGTATTATAACAACTAAAAATCGAGCGAGATTGGATCGAACTCGAACAAAATACGAATCAAATGCAGTTATTAATCGGGAAGATTTCATCCGATCCAAAAAGAAAAAAAAAAGAGTAGCGCATCAAAATCGGCCATAAGAAGGAAGTGATTTAACATTAGAATACCTGGTAGGTGTTGTCGAATTTGTCGTACATGAAGCGAGTGATGATACTGGTCTTGCCAACGGATTGATCCCCCAAGAAGACGAGCTTGTACTTGGCGAGAGCGGAGATTGGAGCCATGATTTTCCGGATCTATTCAACGCGAAGGTACCCGAAAGGGACGAGAACGAATCAATCCAAGCCAAGATCCCGCCGGAAACTAGTGGAGTTTGTCACCGGCCGGGAAGATCGAGATCGTGATCCATTAGGCTTGTTGCTTTCTAAGTATTATATTCTTATTTTTATAGTTATTGTCGATTTATATATGGTAATTTTTTTGGTTAAACCCCAAATTTGGTCCCTAAATTATTATACGAATTTTTAATTGAGTTCTTAAACTAAAAAAATATTTAAGTTGGTCCCTAAACTATTAAATGAATCTTTAATTGAGTTCTTAAACTAAAAAAATCTTTTAGTTGGTCTCTAAAATTTCTAAATTTGGCCAAAATTGGTCCTTTCGGTAAAAAAATAGTTGACATCATATGTGGTTATTAACTAACAATTTTTTTAATTATTTTTTAACAGAAAGACTAACTTAAGGTTGAATATCAATGTTGTAAAAAATGAATTTTTATGGTGTCATTCTGCCCGCATCAACCTCTGAGCAAAAATTCAATGCAGTTTGCATCATTCAGATTGATTATGTGGTTATTAACTAACAGTTTTTTTAATTATTTTTTAATAAAAAAACTAACTTAAGGTTGAATATCAATGTTGTAAAAAACGAATTTTTATGGTGTCATTCTGCTCACATCAACCTCTGAGCAAAAATTCAATGCAGTTTGCATTATTCAGATTGATTAAGTACATCCTGGCACTATTAGGCACACTTAATGATGCCTAGAGAACATGAGCAAATTTTTTTATTAGTTTTTTAA